GTTCCTTGGAATAAATGCCGGACTTGTCCTGACCTGCAAGACCCCTGTGTGGCAGCTTCTTCCTACCCCCACCTCCTGCTCTGGACACTCTCCACAGTATCCTCTGGTTTTTAGGCCCGTTCTGGCTCTTTCCTTGTCCTCCACTGGTTGTTTTCCCAGCCACAGTATTTTCAGCCTTCATATCTCAGCCTTAGGGGCACTTCTAGTCCATAGTTAGTGACAACATATGAGGGCCTGTAGAGCGAGCCATTTTCCTGTCTTGAACAAGTTGGGTTAGCCTTCTGGTGGGCAGAGAAGTGGAGGGCTCTGCTTAAGCTGTGGTCTCACCAGTGTCCTGGGCCTTCTGTGTGCCCCAGCTTTGACAGTGAGAAGGCCGGGGACCGGGAGGTACAGAGGACAATGCTGGAGCTTCTGAACCAGCTGGATGGCTTCCAGCCCAACACCCAAGTAAAGGTGAGTATTACTGTCACTTCCCAGATGAAGAAAATGAGGCTTAGAGGTCAGCGGACTGTCTCAGGTCACCTAGCTTGTGAGTGGTGGAGCCAGAATTAGAATTTGGTTCTGTCTGTAACATCCCTATGTCTTTACCCACACCCTGGCTGCTTCTCTACCTTTTATGACCATGACTGTGCTCGTCTATGAACGCTTGCTCCTCGATTCAAGTTGCTGCTTCTCCTCTTCCTCAGGTAATCGCAGCCACTAACAGGGTGGACATCCTGGACCCCGCTCTGCTTCGCTCAGGCCGCCTGGACCGCAAGATCGAGTTCCCAATGCCCAATGAGGAGGCCCGGGCCAGAATTATGCAGATCCACTCCCGAAAGATGAACGTCAGGTTAGCAGGACAAGGGCAAGGCACTGAGACCCAAACAGGTGGCAGAAGAGTGTCCCTGTCACTCCTCTTTGTACTGAGCTTCCCCAGCCTCCGAGTCCACCACCTCCTGCTCCCCATGCACAGGCAGTGCTGTTCCATACAGTTGCCCAATAGAGAATCCGGGTCTGGGTGCTCTGCTCCTGAGACTCCACCTGCTCTGCCCAGGCCCCCATCCCTATCCGAAGGCTTCCAGGCCAGAGGCGCTCAGATCCCCAGCCTCCCACACCCCAGCAAATGAGCACAGCCCAAGCATGGCTCAGGGAATCTAGCCAGGGGTCAGATGGATCTGTATGACTTTCAGCAGGTAGTGTAGCCTCTCTAAGCCTCAGTTTTCTGATTTGGGACTTGAGGGTGATAGCACCAACTTTAGGGTGTCATGTTGTTGAGGTAAGGATTAAATGTGATGTCACACAGTGCTCGGCACACAATGAGGACAGTGGCAGCAGTACTGTGGATTCAGGGCCACTCTGCTGGGGGAATGTGAGACCATTTTTTTGTCTCCACAAGCGCCTGCTCCCCTGCCTCAGGCTGAGCCAGTCCCTGGAGTCTCATGCAGATTTGTAGAAGGCCAGAGTTTAGGAGACTAAAATTGCCTGGTATAACCTGCTTTAACCTGCTCCTCTTCTCCTCTATCTTGTACTGAGAAAAAAAAACAGGATTTAGTTGGTAAAGGACTTGCCTCTGGTCACAGGACAAATTGACTTTGCTGCTTTATTGGGGCGTGGGTAGATAATCTGCCTGTCCTTAGCAACTGACCCTGTGGCGTCTGTCCTCTCCCCAGTCCTGATGTGAACTACGAGGAGCTGGCCCGCTGTACAGATGACTTCAATGGGGCCCAGTGCAAGGCTGTGTGTGTGGAGGCGGTGAGTGGTTAGGCGGGGTGGGTGGGTCACTTCTTGCCTTCTTATTCCTTCCCTAGACAGGACAGGAGCATTTGGCTGGTGGAGACAACTGAGAGAAAGGCTGAGAAAGCCCTTGCCTCTGGGAGCTGGGCTAGGGATGTGGGAAGGCACTTATATTCTGTCTGTCCTGGCTGCAGGGCATGATCGCACTGCGTAGGGGTGCCACGGAGCTCACCCACGAGGACTACATGGAGGGCATCCTGGAGGTGCAGGCCAAGAAGAAAGCCAACCTGCAGTACTATGCCTAGGGGTGCCGCAAGCCTGTCTCCACTCTCTTGCTGGTTAAAATGTATAATAAAAGATGGTTTGGGGTCCCTGCCATTGGCTGTGTCGCCTTTCCTAGGCTCTGGGTGTGGAGTGGGGGTTGTGCAGGAGGCCCCTTCCCCAGGTGCTACAGCCTGGAGACACATCTAGGAGATGGCCATGGGCCCCAAACCCATGTCAGGGTGAGGCCCACCTCTCTGGGGTGTGCATGGTGCTGTAGCTGTTGCCTGGGGCCTTCACACTTTGCCCAAACTGAGAGCCCCCCCTCCATATTTACTGCCCTCTGCGCTGTCAGAGGCGTATGGCCCTGCAGATCCCAAATAAAGGTCCTAAATAGAAGCTAGCCGTCCCCTTCTTTTTACAATCTTGGTGCTCTGGTGCTAGTCCCTGCCCATTATAAATAGCCAGGCTTTGGGTCTTTGGTCGTCCAAACTCCTCCCTTCTTTCCTGGCTCCTGGGCCTCCTGTTTCTCCACTTGCCCCCATTAGCTCTTTCTGCCCGTTTCTTCTGGCCGAAAAATTAGCCTTGAGCAGAATCTACTCTGAGAGCCCTTCTAGGCCTGACTTCAGTCACACTGTTCTGGCTTCCCCTTCCCCATTCTGCCATCTTGTCATCAGGCCCCACATTTTGTCACAGTTGCTTTAGAATCTCATTGGCACTCTTGTGTGCATGACCAATCTTCCAGCTCTCTAGCCTGTCACCCAGCTAGCGTGGTTGCCACTCACTGAGGGCTCAGTCTGGGCCATGTGCCATACAGGTCTTAATGTGTAATCTTACCTAGTTATCAGGATAACCACTAATAGAGTGTCCCCATTTTATAGATGCATTTAAGCAACTGAGCTGAGATCACACAACTACTAGGTGGCACAGCTGGGAGTAAAACTCAGGACTGGGAACAAAGCCAGTCTACTTTGGCCAGTCTCACAGCTGGCCTTTCAAAGTGATGGCCCTTCAGAACTCAGCTCTTGCTCATCCACTGGCAAAATTCCCTACACTGCCCCTTCCTCCTTTCCCCCTTTCTTTCCCCTCCCCACGTAGACATGAGCACAGCAAGCTACTGACCATCCTGGCCAGGCCGATTCCTTCTCAGCTCTGATTTCCTTCCCTCTCACCCCAGGGCATGGCGCTAAGCTTGGCACTCCCCCTGGCTGACTTCCCAGCCCCTGCCCCAGGTGTCCAGCAGCACAGCCCTGAAGTGCTTCTGGTTTCGTCCCCTGCTCTGGACTCAGCTACTGCCACTCTAGCGTTCCTGTTCCCTCTTCTAACCAAGTAGGGCATTCACTCTTGGCCATGACACCTGAGTTCCCCCACAGGGACCACCCTCACCCATCTTGGCTTCCTCATCTATAAAATGGGTCCCCTGCCTTACTTAGTGGACTTTGCATGATGCTTGTATGTGTTTGCCACCCAGCAGGGCTTGTTACCACGGCTAGCAGCCCTGAGCACCTGCTGAGGTGAGGAGGTGGCCAGTGGAGACAGCCCCGGGTTTGTTCCTCAGATCTCTCAAGCCCGGACTCATCAGGTCCTTAAGACAGTTCTCTTACTGGTTAGTCACACTTAGATGAAGCAGATATTCTGTCCCTTTTATATGTTTTGCTGATAGAAATACTGGAAGCCAAGCACTCCCAGCTGAGGATGTCGCCAATTTGTCTCCCTCTCACTTATCCCAGATGTCATGACGCACTTGCCCAGACTCTGGAGATCCAGGCCATGGTGCTACTGAAGGCTGTCCTGGTCAGCTAGGAGAGGAAAGGGGTGGACGAGACAAGTCCACTCCCCGCATTCTCCGGACAGCACTGGGGAGGTGGTGCCCCCTGGTGCCTGTGGTGTTATATTCAGCACATTCAGAGGAAGGGGAAGAGGAAAAGCCATGGCTTGTTGGTCTATAAAATAAAGTTTGGGTGTGATGGCTCAACACCTGTAACCCCAGCACTTTGGGAGGCTGAGGTGAAAGGATCCTTTTTTCTTTTTTAAGACAGTCTTACTCTGTTACCCAGGCTAGAGTGTTGTGGCATCAGCCTAGCTCACAGCAACCTCAAACTCCTGGGCTCAGGTTATCCTGCTTCAGCTTCCCAAGTAGCTGGGACTACAGGCATGTGCTACCATGCCTGGCTAATTTTTTCTATATATTTTTATTTTTATTTTTTTTTTATCTTTTCAATTCCTCTCATTTTATTTTTTTATTTTATTTTTTTTAATTTTTTTTTTTTATATATATATCAGTTGGCCAATTGATTTCTTTCTATTTATAGTAGAGACGGGGTCTCGCTCTTGCTCAGGCTGGTTTTGAACTCCTGACCTTGAGCAATCCGCCCGCCTCGGCCTCCCAAGAGCTAGGATTACAGGCGTGAGCCACAGCGCCCGGCCTATATATTTTTAGTTGTCCAATTAATTTCTTTCTATTTTTAGTAGAGATGAGGTCTTGCTCGCTCTTGCTCAGGCTGGTCTCAAACTCCTGAGCTCAAGCAATCCTCCTGCCTCAGCCTTCCAGAGTGCTAGGATTACAGGCGTGAGCCACCACGCCTGGCTGAGAGGATCTCTTGAAGTCAGGAGTTCAAGATCCTGTCTCTACAAAATAGGAAAATTAGCCAGGTGTGGTGGTATGCACCTGGAATCCCAGCTACTTGTGAAGCCGAGGTGGGAGAATGGCTTGAGCTGAGGAGTTTGAGGCTGTAGTGAGTAAGCTATGATCATACCACTGTATTCCAGCCTGGGTGATAGAATAAGACCCTGTCTCCAAAAACAATAAAAATAAAAAAGGACGACGTCCTTGAGGGTGGTGAGGGGCTGAAATGGCATAGGGCCAGGCTCCTGTAAGTGCTCAGCCACCATTGGGTAAGTTAAGCCAGGAACATATGAAATGTCCAGATGCACTGCAGGAGTGACAGTTCCGAGACAAGGCTCTGGCGGGGCACTGAGGAAAGCCCTGCCTGGCCATGGAATCTGGTATGCAGAACAGAAGAGCCAGTTTATGGATAATATTTATTTGTACCTTATCTATAGAACAAGTATTTACAAATACAAACGGAACCACAGCAAAATTGCTATAATATTAATAAAACCATTCAGACCCTCTTGATAGCCACTTCTCAAAACACAGTCAAGGGCAGGGCTGGAGCCTGGCTGTGGAGTGGGCCAGCTGAGTACCTGGGCGTCAGCCAAGGGAAATAGCTAGGGATTATGGCTTCAGCATTCTCCCAGAGCACATTCCTGAGCGCTGACAATGGAGCCCTCACCGCCCCTGCCTTACTCTAACCCAGTGGGAGAGGAAAGGGGCCGGGGCAGGGAAGGGCAGCCGTGGCTCCCCCTCTGCTGGCCCCCAGAGTCTCCGCCGCCCTGGTGCTGGCAGGAGCATCCCTGAGCTGGCCTGGGGCTGCTTGCTGCCCTGCAGGCTGCTGTTTGGCAGCTGGAGGTGGCAAGAGTTGCCAGTGCTGCCAAACAGGAGCTGGCCTAGGCGTGCAGCCCTGAGGAAAAGGTCTTAGAAAGCATCTCCCAGCTCAGTGCTGGGGCTGGGGGCTACAGGAGCACCTGCCTTTCCTTTCTTTGGCTTCGAGGTGGCGAAGGAAGGGCTGGGAAAAGGGACACAGCAGAGAGAAGCACCCCAACCTACATTGCCTGGGGCCTGGCTGTATGAGCAGAGGGATTTCCTCCCTCAGGCTAGAGGCCAGAGGGTGCGGGGAGCAGGAGGCAGGACAGCTTGGGAGTCCCCTGCAGCCCTGGCTCCTTGGGCTGTTCTTACTCCTTCTGGGGTCCCGGTGGGGTGAGGCCTCTGCTTGGGGCCCTTGCTTTTGTTGCTAACTGCTCACTTGGAGCGGGGGGTGCAAGAGAAAGAGTGGCAAGGAGAGATGACACAGCCTGACTGGGGCAGGCGCTGCACTGCGCCCTGGGCCCAGCGCACAAGGATCACAGTGTCGGTCTCGCACACAACCTCTGACCACGTGCACACCACACACACACACACACACACACTCCCTCCTGTCTGGTCAGAGGCTCATTCTCACAGGCACTCGCCTTTTCGGCCATACACAGTCACAGAGTGAATCCGAGTCTCTTATTGCTTTTCGGGGGGGGGGGGGTGTCAGGATGGTTATTCAACGAAGAGCGAGAACAGCACCATCACCACGATGCCGGTGCAGAGCAGAAGCACCTGCTGCAGGGAGTGCCTGTGGGGAGAGGGGCCGGGCTCACCATGGTGGCACTGGCTGGAGGAGGGGGCAGCGGCCAGAAGCTCCTCCCTCTTGGGCCCCTAACGGCCCTGTGTGTGGCTGTCCAGTAGGTCACTCACCACGGGTCATCTTCCTCCAAGAGGTCAGGCAGCACATTCACCAGGGCAATGTAGAGAAAGCTGCCAGAGGTGAAGGGCAGGATCCAGGCCACCGTCTCCTCTGCAGTGGGAGGAGAATGCAGGGGACCATGTGTGTTCCACTGCCTCCGGCAGGGGAGACCAGGACAGACCCTGGCCCAGATACCAGCAGCAGGGCAGCCACGCCCTTGGGCTGGCTCCCCTCTGCTGACCACCACCTGCTGCCACCACCCTCCACGCCCATACCTACTCCCTTGGGGGACTGTGTACAGATGGCAAAGCAGGCCCCCAGCAGGCCCCCCAGCGCCGTCGAGAGTTGCAGCTTGGCTGCGCTCCATCGGTCAAAGCCGGCCCGGAGCAGGATGGCAAAATCGCCCACCTGAGAGGAGGTCCAGATGTTTACCCTGCACCCCAGCTAGCCCAGATCCCCTGAGCACTCCAGGTACAGACACACACACCATGCCCCCTGCCCTGCCCCTTTCCTGGGACCCCCATCCAGAGGAGGCAGGAGTGTGGCAGAGATGGCAGCTGCAGCCTGGGGGATGAGGTGCTCCAGGCCCACAGAGCCCAGCCCCCAGCCTGCCACTGCCAGGCAGGCGCACCCTAAAGCCCTCCCCAAGCTCCACACCCATGCTGACCACGGGACCCCTTTGGTCCTGGGTCCCTTGAGGCTGCCCTCTGAGCGCTCACCTCATGGGGGATCTCGTGCAGGAGGATGGCCACGGTTGTCAGGAGCCCGATCTGCAGGAAGGGGAGCCTGAATCTGCGGGGTCTGTGTCAGGACCTGGGCACCCCACTTGCCCACTCACTCATTCTACAAAGATTCACCCTGAGCTGGCTCTGGTCTGGACACTGTTGGCTACTGGAAATACAGCAGCGACTAAAGGGGACCAGGGAAAGTGTGGGTGGAAGAACATTGAAGGCAGAGGGAACTGTGAGATAGGAAAGAGCTTGGCCGGTTGAAGAGTAGGCAAACCACTGGGCCAGGGCACAGAGGACCGAGGGAGGTGGGGGGAGAAGCATCTAGAAGCCGACAGGGGCCAAGCCTAGCAGCTTGATAGAGGCATTCTAACAAGGAGTGTTGTAAACAAGAACAGACCAGTGGCTTAGGACAAAAGAAGGTGCAGGGACACCTCCTACCAGGAGGCTCTGGCAGTGTCCAGGACAGCAGCAGGGAGGATGGGGGGTGGTGCTTAGATGAGGGTGCTGGTAATGGAGGGAGCAAGAAGTAGGTAGAACCAACTCGTCAACACAGGTGCCACCAGAATCCCCTGAGCTCACCTGCCCAACCCCTCCTCACCTTCTTGCTCACAAGGAAGCTGGCAGCAACGGCCAGCCCATGAGTGAAGTTGTCAATGGTGTTGGCCAGCAGGTTGAGATAGCCACTCACCTGGGAGGAGGAGAGAGCGCCAGGCTCAGCCAGGCGGGTAGGGCTGAGCCGGGCTGGACACTAGGGGCTGTGTGGCAGCTGGGTGGTGGAGTGGGATTCCAGGGTGGGATCCGAGGAGGCCACTCACTTTGATGCTCCGGACCACCGCACCGAGGCCAGGTTCTGCAGCCGGCTGGGCCAGACAGCGGCCTCCATTGAGTGTGGCAGTGGCAGAGGCAGCAGTAGTGGGGTCTTTGGAGGCGGCCTAGGGCCAGGAGAAGGAAGGAGAAGTAACATTTGGCCCAACATCAACTGGGCCAGGCTAGACACAGAAGGGGAGTGAGAGGTGGAGAAACAGGAACACCCCTTTTATCTGGTTAGACTTTGCTGCTTGATCAGCTGGGTGCCCACAAGCTCAGCAAAGCCACCCCCACACCACAGTCATGATCAGTCTACCAGAACAAGCCATAGCAGCGGTTGATGCCATCACTCTCCAGATGGTCCCAAAGAAGTTGGCCCAGCCTCCAACAGCTCCCAGGAAAGAGCTAAGGTGAGGGCTCAACTCAGAACCTGGGCCTCCAGGTCCTGGGCACCACCACCTGGGTAGGACAGAGGCTGATGTGTCCAGGTCCTGGGGTCTGGGGCTCACCTGGCTGGTCCCTTCCCTCTCCTTGCTGTCCAGGAACATCTTCTCCAACACCAGGAAGGTCAGGATGCCAGCAATGACCCACAGCCCCAGTTGCTGTTGCTGCTGCAGGCTCTGCCCCTCACCACCTGCAGGGGGCAGCATTGATGGGCCAGGCCAATCCAGGGCCATAGGAGGGGGCCATTTGGAATGGGATCTAGTCCACTGCAGTGACAGGGGCAGGGGGCTAGGACTGGCAGGTTGGGCAGCTGGGCCCCAGGACCTCCAAAGGGGCCAGGGCAATAAGAAGACAACGATCCTTCCTCCCAGGCAAGTTCCAGCCAGACACCCAGAAGTGCTCTCCCAGTCATCCTGGCAGAGCAGGCAGGGCCCGGGTCATTCCTGGGCATGGGCACCAGCTGCCTACTCCTGCCCTCTCCCCCATGGCCTGTGGCCTCACTTACCAGGGCTGGCGCTGCATGTGTAAGCCCAGGCCTCAGGTAGCAGGTGCAGGAACACATTGCCCAAGAGTCCTCCCAAGGCAAAGCTGAGCAGCTGCTTCAGGCGCCGGGCCCCAGCTATAAGGCAGAGGTGCCAGGTCTGGGGGCTGCCCCACTGGAGCCAGACTTCTGCCCCACCGGAGCCGGACCTCTGCCCCACTCAGCTCACTGGGCTCTTTCTGTTGCCTCAACCACATTTCCAGGCTCTAGGAGGCTGGACAGGGGCTGGGTGCTCAGCAGGAATACACACCTGCCGAACGCCTAGGGCCACTTCGGCATCAGGGTTAAGAGACTGGGCTTTGGAGCCTGGCAGGTCCCAGCTCCCCAACCCACCAGCTGGTGACTTTGGGCAGATAACTTCTGAGATCCAGTTTCCCCATTTGTAAATTGGATCTTGTGGGAATTAAATGACAAGACATGTGGCAAATGTTCATTAAATGGGAATTTTTCTCTTCTCAGCCACTGTCACTCTCAGAAAAGTGGCAGAGATTTTAGAACAGATTTGCAGCATCCAGAGTTGGATATGCTTTAACAGCGTGCAGACCTTTGGTTTGATAGAGAAACTGAGGCCTGGAGGACAGAGGCAGCTGGGCATGGGGTGGGATCCCAGGGGAAGCTGCTATTTCCAGGTTGTGTGACCTTGGGCTGGTCAAAGAACCTTTCTGAGCCTGTGCTTCTCTCCTTGGAAAAAGGAACTAATGATCCAAGTGCTCCCTATGCTGACCTCAAAGGGCTGCTCTGAGGAGGGATGAGCTGAGGCACAGGCCTGACCGTGGGCCCTGACGAGGCTCCATTCGCAGCCATGGCGCCAGCTCGCAGCCCAGTGCCTGCCGCAGAGGTGTTGGGTGATGGGTGACCATCTGCTAAGGGAACGGTTCCTGAGCCTGGCAGGCAGCACACGCCTCTAGGGTGCTCATTTCTAACAGATTCATGGGCCCTGGTCCAGACCTACTGTGGCACACTCGGGTGGGGGATGGGCACCTGCATTTCTAGCAGCTCCCCATACAATCTTTTGCGTTTTTAATGACATCATATTACTTGTGAACAGGCAGTACATGCACCTGGGACAAAAGAGCAGTGGAGGAAAAGCCTTCCACCCATGCCGGGTCCTGGTCTCCCAGATCCCCTCCTCCCTTCCACCAGCTCCTTGTGGATTCACGGGAAGGCTGACCCTGCTGCTCCTGGCTGGAGAATTCTTCCACTCTGCGCAGACGCTGAAGGCAGCGCTTGCTCACTGCTGCGAACACCTAGCCCTTTCCCTGCCCTAGCACTCTCCCAAACACTTTAAGTGTGTCAGTTCCTTTAGTCTGCACAACAGTACCTATGAGGTAGATACTATTACCACTCCCAGGTGTAAGGTTGGGAGACTGAGGCAGAGTGAAGTTCAGTAACCTGCCCAGTGCTACCCAGCTGGGAAGTGGCAGAGCCAGCATTTGAACACCGGCAGGAAGCCTGGCGTCCATATTTCCAACTACCACCTATGCTGCCTCCCGGCAAATGCTTGCTGACCGAAAGGATACATGAATGGACAGATGAATGAACAAATGAACACCCGCACCCTGGCCCCACAGGACCAAGGCAAGAAATTCTATTCTATCCCCACCCTCCCTATCAGAAACACTGTGACCTGCTATGTGAGACCTGGGGTCTCCCAGAAGAGCAGCAGCATGTTTCCCACACTGCTGGCTGCCCCTGGGCGCCATCGGAGGGTCACCCACCTTCTGAGCGCAGCATGGTGCCCATCTCCAGGGGAATGACGAGCAACGGGAAGACCCCACTGAGCCCCACCATGAGAGAACCCAGGAGGGAGCAGATCCAGGTGTCCAGCCTCTCCCCACTCAGCAGGGCCCCCCAGGACTCGCTTTCCTTGTTGTCCAGGCGACAGGCTGCCGCAGCCCCCCGGTTCTGGAGGGCTGGCTGAGAACCCCCAGCCCTTCCCAGGAGCTCCAGGGCAAGGGCAGTGAGGAAGAGGAGCCTTTGGCCTGCCATGCCACAGCCAGGGCAGGGACATCCAGGCATGCCACGTACTGCAAAACACAAAGGCCACTTACGTGAGCTGCCACCCTTGGCCGCACACCTGCTTAGGAAACGTGGCACCTCCCCCTTCCCCCCAAGTAGCCATGGCATCCACTCTCCTGCTGGCTTTGCCAGGGTGTCCAAGGATCTGAATGGTGGTCACACAGCAAAGGGGCTCTGCTCCTCCAAGCTCCTACTCCCAAGGACCACACATTTTTTCCTTCTGAGACAGCTCCAGACGGTGTGTCAGCACGTCTGCCTGAGGCTAAACTTTCCCTAATGACAGGGTGAGGCACTGGCTGGGCTCTCCTCAGCCACCAGCAGGCTGGCGCAGCTAGGTGTCTCTGGCTGCCAGGGGAGGCTCTGCTGTCAGAATGTGCCCCAAAGAGGACACCTAGGGACTGAGATGGCACTGTCTAGGTTGATGGGGTGGCATTTGAAACTGAGCAGCTAAGCTAGGACAGGACCATCAAAGCTTCTTCCTAGTACATGAATCCAGTGTCCCTGGGGCATCCAAGACAGGAGGTGGCCTGATGAGAAAGGAGCCTCTAGCCAGGAGATGCTCTCAGATGCGCAGAGCGCAGGCTTAGGACGCAGGCTTAGGACGCTGCAGTTAACTTTGTGCTCTGCACTTTCAGCTGCCTGGCTGTGGGCAAGTCCCTGATGCCCCCTGTCTGAGCCTCAGTGCCCTCATCTGTGGGATGGGGATAAGCATCGCCTCTCTCACACAGCTGCGCAGATGAGATGAACTTGAGCAGGTGGACGCGCCTGGCGTGGAGGAGACATAGAGAAGCCCCTCTTATGTGGGGGAGGCCTGGGGCACTGGCAGCAGGAATGTGCCCAGCCGGGGGAATCACAGGATGTGGACGTGAGTCAACCAAGCGAGAAGTTCAATCTGGAAACTCGGACATGAAGTTTAACTGTGGTCTGCCCTGCCTCATGTTGGCTGTGACCTTGAGCTGGTGATGTCCCTGCCTCAGTTGCCTCATCTGCTGATGAAAATGGGAGGGAGAGAAAGCAGCCGCTTCTGGGTGGTGGCAAAGATGCCCACGTCTAAGATCTCCAGGCCTTAAATAGCCAGAGGGAGACCCTGATGAAATCAGCGGGACTCCACTGGGGACCAAAGGCAGGACCGAGCCAGGCCGAGACGGTCGCGCAGAGGTGAGGGGGTCACAGGCTTGGACGATGGAAAGGGTGTACCAGGAGAGTCTGGGGGGAGAGGGAAAGGTGTGAGCAAGAGAGGGGGGAGTCCAGAGAGAGCCAGGTGGGGCGTGGGAGGGGGACACGGACGCAGAGCGGGAAAGATGGGAGCGGAGTGTGGGGACAGACAGCGGGAAGAGCCCAAGACAGGCAAGTTCAACTCCCGGGCTCTGGGAGAGGGCCCAGGTCTGACTAGGACGAGCCGGGGCGGATGGGGGATCGGCCGGGTCCGTCCCGCCCGGGGCGCGGGCCCTGAGGGTCGGGCGGTCACTCACCGTGCGGCGGCGGCGGCGGCGCTCCGGGCGGCCCCGGCCATCCAGCTGCGGTGCCGCGCCCCGCCCCGGCTCTGCCCCGCCCGGCCGCCCGGCCCCCGGCCCGGAGCCGCCCCCGGCGCGCGGCCACGTCACACGGGGGTTGTCCGGAACCGGACGCGCCGCGCGCCGCTGGGCCAGGAGGAGCGGCAGCAGGGGGCGCTTCCGCCTCGTGGCCATGGGGGACCCGGGCGGAGAGCGCACTTCCGCCGGGGCCGGACCGCGGGGCGGCGGGGAGAACCGGACGGAAGTGGGAGCCCCACAGGCCCCGCGCTCAGCCAGGCTGGGCGGGGCGGAGGCGGCGGCTCTGCGGGGATCGCGATCGGTCGGGCGGCCGGGCTTGCGGGTCTGGCCGCCGCTTCCTCTCCAGAGCTGCAGTCCCGCCCGCGGCCGCACGGGGGCGCGCTCGATTGCCAGACCGCTCTGCCCCGCACCGGGCTGGGAGGATGGCCGTGGCGCTCCTACTCTGAGTCAGCCTGGCCCCGCTCCTCCATGAACAAGGGAAAGGGGAAGTGCCTGCCGCAGGGAGGGGCCTGGCCCCGGGAACCTCAGAAGAGGGAATTTTATTCTTACTCATCGAATTATTTTTATGCTTTGGTTTTTCACTGGGAACCTCAGGCCACTGTCTCCAGGACTTGTAACCCTTTGGGGTCCAATGCATGGGGTCCAGCCACCATACTGGACCCTGCTGCTCAGAACTCCAAACTTGGGGCGGTGATGACTCTGTGCATCCCTCACCTAGGGGTAGCTAGACCTGACCTTTTCTTAGTCTAGACAGCAAACAGTTGACGGCAGTTATTATTATAACTGCAATTTACTGAACACCTACTATGTTCCATTAACTCTACTTGTCATTCATCATCTCACTGAATCCTCATTTTATCCCATAGAAGTAGGTACTGTTAGCCCAGGGTCACGCAATGGCACAGACGGCAGAGCTAGGACTCAAACCTGAGTGTCCCTGACCCCAGGGTGTGAGACACCACCTCTCACTTCTAGGGCCTGAATAGCAGTGGGAATCTGGCCCAGCGATTCCTTCTCTGGGAATCAGCCAAGACAGGAGGAAATTCAGGAAGGGGCATGTGGGTACTTACCTGGGCAGAGATTGTGACTGAGTGGGGGGAGGCGGAGTCTCTGAATCTGTGACCCTCTATCAGCCCCCCCTGGCAGCTTCCTCCATTTGTTCTGCATCACTTTCCCCTCTACTGGGGGCTCTGAGGGCACACTCAGCTCTCACATGCTGCATCATGGTGCCTGTCCCACCTCATACTCCAATGTTTGCCCTTCCAAGACCCCCAACTCCTTCCAGATGGACCAGCTTGTCTTCTGAAAGCTTCCTGTCTACTTCACCACACAAGGCCCATAGATCTGCCAGAATGTCCTGTCTCCTCCCTGAGATCTGAAATGGAAGCCCTGGTTAATGGGTTAGTTACTTTGCAAAAGAAAATACTTAGGGATGCTTGCCTGGGACATTTAAAAAGCCCCCCCACATGCAAATCACTCCATCATATGCAAAGCACTTCACAATATGCAAATGATTTCACAATAACACAGTCAGCATTCCTGCCTCTGGGGGCTGAGGGCTCCTGGCCACCCAGCAAGGGGATGGGCAAGACCCAGCCAGAAATGGGAATGGGCAAGACCCAGCCAGAAATGGCACTTAATTCCCAACATCAGATGCCCTAATGCAGCAGTCCCCAACCTTTTTGGCTCCAGGGACCGATTTCATGGAAGACAATTCTTGCATGGACTGTGGAGGTGGATGGTTTCGAGATGATTCAAGCGCATTACATTTATTGTGCAGTCAAACCTCTCTGCTAATGATAATCTGTATTTGCAGCTGCTCCCCAGCGCTAGCATCACCACACCTGCTCCACGTCAGATCATCAGGCATTAGATTCTCACAAGGAACCCACAACCTAGGTCTTTCCCATGCAGTTTACAGGTTTGTGCTCCTAGGAGAATTCCACTGTTTATCTCTCAGGAGGTGGAGCCAGAGCGATGGGAAGTGGCTGTCAATACAGATGAAGCTTACTTGCTCACCTGCTGCTCACCTCCTGCTGTGACAGCTCTGTTCCTAACAGGCCGTGGGCTGGACCACTACCCCACTACCGGTCTGTGGCCTGAGGGTTGGGGACTACAGCCATAATGGGTTAAAGAAACAAGCACATTGGAGGGTGGGATGGGGCCATGAGTGAGGAGGGCCATGTGAAAAGATACGGTGGGGGGACTAATATGTGACAATTTAAAGCACTGAATGAGATCTTCCAGGGGTTTCCAGGTACATACGAGAAAAGTGAGATGCAGAAATGTTTTTTTTTTTTTTTTTTTTTTTTTGAGACAGAGTCTCACTTTGTTGCCCAGGCTAGAGTGAGTGCCGTGGCGTCAGCCTAGCTCACAGCAACCTCAAACTCCTGGGCTCAAGCGATCCTTCTGTCTCAGCCTCCCAAGTAGCTGGGACTACAGGCATGCGCCACCATGCCCGGCTAATTTTTTCTATATATATTAGTTGGCCAATTAGTTTCTTTCTATTTATAGTAGAGACGGGGTCTCGCTCTTGCTCAGGCTGGTTTCGAACTCCTGACCTCGAGCAATCCGCCCGCCTCGGCCTCCCAGAGAGCTAGGATTACAGGCGTGAGCCACCGCGCCCGGCCCAGAAATGTTTATTTATTATGACCCATTATTTTAAAATAATGACAAAAAGAAACTTTATATATGTGTATGTGATTATAGGTATCAGTATACATAACTCCATGTATAACTATGAATAAATAAAAAATAATAGGCTGGCATGGTGGCTTATGCCTATAATCCTAGTTCTTTGGGAGACTGAGGCTAGAGGATGGCTTGGGCCCAGGAGTTCAAGACCAGCCTGGGCAACACAGTGAGATCCTGTCTCTACAAAAAAAAAAAATGTTTTTAAAAAAATTAGCCAGGCATTGTGGCACATGCCTGTAATCCTAGCTACTCAGAAGGCTGAGGTGGGAGGATTAATTGACCCCAGGAATTCGAGGTTATGGTGAGCTGGTGCCACTGTACTCTAGCCTGGGAAACAGAGGGAGACCCTATCTCTTAAAAAAACAAAACAAAAAACTCATCTCATATATATACATATGAAATCTCAATATATATATAAAATCTCTCTGTCTGTCTGTCTTTCTCTCTCTCTGGCCTAGCTTGGTGGTTAAGACAATAAGACTCTGATGCCAGACCTCCTGGGGCAAATTACTTTACACCTTGTGCCTCAGTTTCCTCGTCTATAAAATGAATTCCTGTATTGGATTGTTTTATTTTCATTTATTTATTTTTTTCTTTCTTTCTTTTTTTTTTATTTCAGCATATTATGGGGTACAGATTTTAAGGTTTCAATAAATGCCCTTTTCCCCCACTTCCCCCACAAGTCTGAGTTTCCAGCATGACTATTTTTATTTTTATTTTATTTTATTTTATTTTATTTTATTTATTTTTTTTTTGAGACAGAGTCTCGCTTTGTTGCCCAGGCTAGAGTGAGTGCCGTGGCGTCAGCCTAGCTCACAGCAACCTCAAACTCCTGGGCTCGAGCGATCCTTCTGCCTCAGCCTCCCTGGTAGCTGGGACTACAGGCATGTGCCACCATGCCCGGCTAATTTTTTATATATATATCAGTTGGCCAATTGATTTCTTTCTATTTATAGTAGAGACGGGGTCTCGCTCTTGCTCAGGCTGGTTTTGAACTCCTGACCTTGAGCAATCCGCCCGCCTCGGCCTCCCAAGAGCTAGGATTACAGGCGTGAGCCACAGCGCCCGGCCTTATTTTTATTTTTTAATTAAAAAAAATTTTTTGTAGAGACAGTCTCACTATGTTGCTCAGCCTGGTCTCGAACTCCCGGCCTCCAGTTATCCTCCCACCTCAGTTGGGATTACAAATGTGAGCCACCACATCCACCTTGTATTGGATCCTTGTTGTGAGGATTGAATGAATGAATGCGCACAAAGTACTAAGAATGATGCCTGACATATGGGCAGTTTTATATAGGGTCAGATATTAACATTATTTCCATGGTATTTGTATGGATATGTGTGTATAAAAAAATGTTAAAGCAATGAAAAGAACTGATAAATTACAGACACAGACACAGGGTAGGAGCCACCCTCTCTCTTCTTCCTCAGCACAAATGGGTGTTTTCTGACACATTTATCAGTTGGTTTGGAGGCCTCAGGCATTGAGGTGGGGGACAGACACACCTCAGCAAAGCAGGATGGGCCTGGAAACTGCTTTGCTCCCAGTGACCAGGAGGTGTCTGGGATCTGGGAGCAGCAGATCCATTTCTCTGATTTCACTCTGACAGTCCAGGGCTAGAGACTCTGGGGCTGGGGACGGGATGCTTCCAGAGTATGGCCTCAGGTGAGAAAGCAGGCTTCCCCTTGTCCAGGGCTTTCTGTGGTGGCCAACAGGCAAGCAGCAATCTTTTACAGAAGGCATCGTGGGCTCTGGGTGGTGAGCACATTACCCGAGGTCACAGCTGGAAAGAGACACAACCTGGTGCTCACCCAGGGCCACAGGCTCTGCCTCTCCCTACGGGACCTGTCCCTCTGGAATCCTGAGCCTAACCTTCTCCCAAGAAGTGCTCTCCAGAGCAGCCTTAGGTCCCTTGTGAGTTCCTGGGGTGCCTCCTCCCCTGAATCCTGAGCCCTGGCCAGACGATGCCCCAGCGACTCCTCAGGGCCTCCCCACTCTTCCTCTGCCACGCTGCAACTCTGCCATGGACGGCACCGCTTTCTGTGTAGCCTCTGTGCCGTGGCAAGCATTGTGGCCCCAAGCAGGCCTGGGATGTCCTTCCCCTTCACCATCTGTTCTCTGAAATCCCACCTGTTTACACGGCCTCCTCCTCCCCGCAGCCCTCCTGATCCATCCAGCCTGGGGTTGTTATGTCTTTGGGGCTCTTAGCCCTCTGTTCCCTGTATGCCCAGGCCTCTTCCCTGCTGGGCGTGGACTCCTGGAAAGAAGGACAAGCTTTTGCCTG